ATTGTGGTTCTCTGACAATCTTTTATACATACTACTTCATAGTTTATGGGGAATTAGGTTGGCCTTGGCGGGAATGATGAAATGCTGCAGAACGCCAGCCATTTTAAGGCTGACCCACGATCACACGTAGCACGTTCAAGCTTATTATCCACAATATCAAATATCGAGGGGGTCCATACGGCAGATAACCTAAGGACTTCCACTTCCTCGATCAAATGGCAATTTCCGTGCTCCCAGTCACCACCAAAAAAGCCTCGCGCAATGACGGCCTCTCTCCAGAGTCTCAACTTTTCATAGAACCAGCGAACCGAGGCATTCCAGCGCCCCCGCTTTGCCTGCATTTCCTTGGAATTTGACATCCTGATCGACCCCTAGCCTGCATTATTTCGCTTCGTGCTCATTCTTTCTTGTAAATAAGCGTTTCCGTTAGTTATTCAAGCAACACATTGCGCTCGTTTGTACTTAAAGGCCCCAGCGACTGTTCGTCAGAGTTAGCGCCATAGTAGATCAGTCGCGATGAGCAAGCTCGATAACCCTGTCACTCTTTTGAAGGAGATCCTGGTGAGGACTCCTCTCATTTTGAAGACCGTCCTCCTGCATGGTCTTCATATGTCTCCGGGCTCCGGGAAACAAGACCTTCGCACCGAGTTGACAGTCGCCATCATCCGCTCGTTTATCAACTTCAAGCTTCCCGTCAGCAAGCAGCAAAAGGGCAGTATGCGCGATCCTGGCATCAAGGGTCCCATGTGGGTGTCCAAGGTCACGTTGCCTCAGCCGGAGAATGATGTCCAGGATGCAGTCATCAAAGCGATTGAGGAGTTGAAGTCTGGGGATGAGACGTACGATATCCCCGGCGTCGGACCTGTCGAGGCCGAATGGACTGGATATCGCAAAGGGGTGGACAAGAACGCGCCACAGCCTGATATCTCGGAAGAGGAGAAGTACAAGAAGTTGCGCAGTGACGCAGACGCTGATATGGTCATCTTGTACCTCCACGGAGGAGCGTATTTGTAAGTTGCAGCCGTTCTGTCAGGAAAAACGAGTGCATACTGATCGTTTTAACAGCCTTATGGATCCCTGTACACATCGGGTTCCCGTATCTCAGCTCTCCAAGCACACAGGGGCCCCTGTTCTCTCGGTGCGATACCGTCTGGCGCCCCAGCATCCGTTCCCGGCGGCGCTGGTCGACGCCTTCGTCGCATATCTGTCGCTCCTCGCGCCGCCCCCTGGCTCGCTGCATGACCCCGTGCCAGCCAACAAGATCATCTTAGCTGGCGATTCCGCCGGAGGCAACCTATCGCTAGCTTTACTCCAGACCCTTCTGACCCTTCGCCGCGTCTCCCCCACCGTACGCTTCCACGGCCAGGACATACACATCGAGCTCCCCGCAGGCGTCGCAACAAGCTCCCCCTGGTGCGACATCACAAGGTCCATGCCGTCCATCTTCGACAACGCGCGCTACGACTACCTCGACCCACCCAGCCAGACGCCAGACACGACGTTTGTCCCGCTGCCCATCCCCGAAGACGAGATCTGGCCCTGCAGTCCTCCCCGCGGCGACTTCTTCGTCAACGCCAACGCCATCCTGCACCCGCTCGTCTCTCCGCTCGCCTCCCGCGGTGAGATCTGGAAAGACGCCCCGCCTATCTTCATTTCTCTCGGCGAGGAAGCTCTGACAGATGAGGGTCTGCTTCTCGCGCGCAAGCTGCACCGTGCTGGTGTGCCTGTGGTCGTGGAACAGTTCGAGGGTATGCCGCATTGTTTTGGGCTCATTATGGTTGGCACGCCGGCGGGTCAACGGTTCTACAAAGGCATGGGAGACTTCTGCCGTGATGCGGTGGCAAGTCGCGTCCGAAGTTCGGGGAATCTGACGTATATCGGGTTCAAGTTGCGATCGACGAAAGAGCTCCCCCTCGAGAAGGCCGTGGCCTTGAGTGATGAGGAGGTGGATCGGTTACTGCGCAGGACGGCGAACTGGCGGCTGGAAGGTGAGAAGAAACTTCAGCAGCAGGTGACGGAAAGGGCAAAACTGTAGTCTGGTCTGCAGAGTGGCGGCGTCTTATCTATATATATCTGACTTATACCCCTGTCTATCCCGATTCTGATTCACTTACAATTAACACGTTACGAATTCTGCATATGCTACTGAGTCTATCTTTGTACCTCTTCTACCCGCTTGTGAATCAATGGTGACAGGTTTCCACGACCTGACTGTGGTGCTAGTTCGTTGAGTGCATCCCGATGAGAGCTTCTCTTCGCCGATTTATCCTTGACATACCAGGTATTGACTTCTGGGAGCTCTGTGATACACTCGGAGCTCGCTACGCAGATGAAAATTCAAGCCATTAATTGTCCTTACTCCAAACTACAAGATTTCTGAAGAAGGGTCTTTGTCCATCATTGTTCGAATCCCGGGCGGGTTCCTGGTACTTTTTCATGGCCTTCAATCAACCATCTAAGATACTTCTTTTGCCAACTGCTTGACAATTGCAGGTCACCGGCTCCAGCCTTACCCACTCTGGTTCGCAGACTGGATTCTGAATTTGCTTTGAGCAAAGGAGCGGTCATCATAGCGCCTAGCTACCGCCTCCTGGGAGAATCGTCTGGAAAAGACGTACTCGAAGATATGGATGACTTATTGAAAGCCATCTCTTTGTTCGAAGTCTGCCATTCTCGTTCGCTAGTATGTCCAAGGGTAGATGACCAGAGCCGTAATTCAATGGGGGTGATCTGGGTAGTTGAGGATTTGAGCACTGCAAATATTAGATGTATGCCATCCATTAACTTTCTATTCCTATTAACGTAACCGGTAAGCGAGTCGGCCACCTCCCAACCGATTCAGACCATCTTCTTAAAGAAAAGGCATTTTAATACAAAAACATGCATTTCTATATAAAAACTAATTATGACCACGATTAGGACACTGCAATCTTTTATGCCCGATAATATGACAGTCACTGCAGCGTGGGGGCGCCCGTACGCGGCGCTGCAATGTGTCTGGTGCGTTCGGTTCCTGTAGTGTAGGTCCAGTCTGTATAGCCTCTTCAACCTGATTCCTGCTCTGTACAAGCGTATGGCTTTCTTCAATTGAAAGGCCCTCTGCAGAAGCAATCTGCGCTTTAGACTGTTTTCTCTTTTGAAGCTCTTTCTCAAGTGCAGCCCGTAGATCCTGGTTTTCCTTTGCAAGAATAGCAGCCCTATTAAGGGCTATTTCAAACCCTTTTACAAGCTGATTCAATGCCCTGTTTGTTGGACTGGGAGGACTCTGTGTATGATGTCGCAATAGCTTCTTTATTGTAGATGCCTGCTTATTCAACTGCTTGAGATTGTATGGCGTTTTTGGTACGGAAGTTGTTGATCGACTTATGGGTGGTATAGGGGACTTTAGCTGTATATTCAGCTGTGATAGCACACATTCTGGGTGTAAAGGGACCAATCCAGCTGCTGCAAAGCCATTTTGAATATTCTCTGGCCTGAAGACTTCTGTACGCGCGTTGGGATAGGCCTCAAGAAAGTCAAATTTATCAATATGATTGAAACCAAGCCGCATCTTGTTTTCAACCAGGCGGCCGTACGCACGCTTTAAGGGCGCAAAACACCCAACATCAAGAGGCTGTAAGAGATGTGATGAGTGTGCTGGCATGCAGATTGGTATAATATCATGCTCCATGCATATCTGGTCAAACTGTGGTGTTAGATGGCTTCCATGGCCACCAAGAACCAACAGCCGATATTTGCCAGTTGTACGGCTATTAGTTGCTGGAATAAAGAGCTTTTGAAGCCAACGCAGTCTAATTTCATCAGTTGTCCAACCATTTGCACTGACTTCGATCCTCCAGTCGCCTGGTAAGGCATTATCTTCATACCATCCCTCAATATGGACCTTTCCTTTGAAGATAATGCATGGTGGAAGTGCCCATCCTGAACAGTTGACACACTCAATAGATGTCACCCATTCACGATTACCTGGCTGTACAAGAAATGGCCGGCCAACCATCTCTGCTCTTGTTACTACTTTTGCAGTAGCCACAAGGCCTATAGCAAAGCCAGTCTCATCAAAGTTATAGATATCCTCATCAGCAATCCCATACTGCATCCTGGTAACCTGTACACGGTTGAACCACTCAGTAATCACCTTAGGATCCTCACACTTCGCGCGCTGATGATTATACCGGCGAGAGAATCGAGTTTTGAGTTCATCCTGGCGTTTAATAAAGTTGTACACCCATTTCTCTCCGACAGCTTGAATAGGAGTTGTGCCACGCTTTGCAAGCAAGATATTAGCCATTTCTCGTACGTGAGATGGCCGGGGAGCTGCACCACGCTGATCCATAGAGAGAATCCATCGTACAAGCGAATCCTCTTCACTTTGAGTCAGCTTATGAGAGTTGGCGCGTACTTCATTGCGAAAGGGCTTCCCACGTAGCCGGTCTTGAAGTGTCGAGCGGGGAATATTATATACACGCGCAGCCTCACGAATATTGCTAATTTCTTGTTTCTTAAGAGCAGAAATTGCAAGTAGGATCCGTCCTTCCTTTTCAATTGTATCTCTTGAATTTGTACGCGCTTTTGGTGGCATGGTGGTGGTTTGAATTGCTGCAGTCCCCTGACGCGTTCGGGAATTCGAGAGGTGGCCGACTCGCTTACCGGTCACGTTATCAGTTGGAATCTAAGATTGATGCCTTAGGCACTTCTAAACATGATAGGTCTGGCTATGCTTTGATCCCAGACCCGCTAAACCGGATCTGGCAAGCAACTGATGGTGTATCGACGTAATGGAAAGTGAAGCTCAAGAGCTGTCCATGATGACGTCGTTCAACCTCCAAGATGGCCCGGAAAATGGGTATATAAACCAGGAGGCAAAAGTCCTTGAACACATTCTAACTGGTCCTTCTACGCTCAGAAACATTACATTCCTCAAATTCATTAATATCACCTTAATTGCCGCATCTCAAACCACCTGAATCTAATCCACTATACAACCAGCACTACAATACAAAATGTCTTCTCTCGCACGCTTCGCTCCCCTGACCGCTCGGGTCGCTGCTGTTCGCACGACCACTCCTGCCTTCACTGCAGGTGGCAGATTCATCTCCTCGACACCCAAGAACGAGAAGGGTCCTGTGGAGGCAACCAAGGACACACTGAAGAAGGCGGACAGAGTTATCTCCGATAATCTTGTGAAGGGTATCAACAAGGGTGGTATGTGTTTGTTACTCGTAATGAACCATGATCTATGCTGATAGGATGCAGAACAAGCGACAGAGAAGGTCAAGCAGACGGTGGGAAGCTCAACTGAGGAAGCCAAGTACAAGGCAGAGGGAATGAAGGAGGAGATGAAGGGCGAGGCCTCGGGAAAAGCGAGCGAGACCAAGGGTAAGGCCAAGGAGACTCTTGGCGAGGCCAAGGGTAAAGCTAAGGAGGTATATGGTGAGGCCAAGGGCAAGGCAAAGGAGATGGGTAACATGTGAGGTGCAGTTGAGGCTGCCTCAGCGGAATGAAGAATCAAAACAAGGATAGAAGCCAAGGGCCAGGTTGATGATTAACTGACGCATGGATGGATTCCTTTTTCACCGATCTCATGATGTTTTAATAGCATATTCCATGACAAAGCACAATGACCATGTTGTTATGATGCATCTTTCCTGCTGAGCCTCGACCCTCTGTCGTCGCGAGTAGGTCTGCTCTTACGGATTCGAACCTCGTACAACGAACCTGAATGAGATAACATCACATCGCACTGTCGATCAATCTGGCTGAGGTAGCATGAGAACATATTCTCTCGAGCTCAAGCCAAACTTGAGAACGTCCTTGTCTCGCAACTCAACGTAGCGTCCGGCTGGGATCGTATCTCCATTCACATGGGAGCCATTGGCGCTCTCCAGGTCAATGAGATATGGTTTGACCTTTCCAATATGATCTCCGAATTCGTTCCTCTTCTCGACGAAGCGGAATTGAATGGCCGCATGCTGCTTGGAGCAGCTAGGGTGATCCAGCGGGAAATCGGCCACAAGGCGCTCCCTTCCGATCAACCAGCAGCTGCGCTCAGCCAGCTCGACTACCTCAAGTAAATCTTCGCCTTTAAACACGTAGAGTCGCCAAGGTTCTTTCGTAGGAGGCTTGCGCGCTTCCGGGGGCTCATGGTACTTGAGAACAACCGTACCTCCACTGACGTTGACAGTATTGGTTTCAGCAGCCAAGCGACCGGTGTTTCCAAAATTGGGTTTCTCTTTGTCTGGCGGCGGTGCCGATGATTCCCCTCCCCGCGCAACTTCTGATGTATATGCGTCGTTTTGAGATGGTAGGGGAGCCTTGGATCGGGGAAGAGCCCGCGACTCTGGGCTTCGTAAGCGTCCAGCCGGCGAGCGTGAACGGGACCGACTTCGATATTTTCGGGAAGATCTCCCTCGATCGTCGTACGAGTCTCGGTCGCGGTGATGGCGATGGCCACGTTCTTCAGCTGGGTACGTTCGTCTTCTGCGATGATCATCCGATTCTTCTCGTCTTTCTCTGCGGTCCCGTCGATCACGGTTATCTAGTTGGCGGGCATCTCTCCGCGTCGGGCTGCGCGGAGACCGTCTTCGAGAGCTATTCCTTCGAGAACTTCGATTATCATCGCGGCGTCGTTCTCGGGTGTGCCGTCGTCTATCATTGTCTCTGGCTGAAAGGGAGGACTCAGAAGGCGACCGGCGCCGTCTTTTCTCACTGTAGTCATCTCTTGTATCAGCCATGACCAGTTGGATTGTCGAAGCTAGGGATCATTCGATAGATCAATCCAGAAAAGTTGTTGTACCCGACAGAGGAGGAAAAGTAATAAGATGGGTCTCTGCACGTGACCCTATGTTTGGCTGCTCGGGGAAGATTGAGCGAACATCATTCGATCACAAACCAACAGAGGTCTTGAACAGAGGCTTTATCACTGCACCATTATCTATCTTTACGGAGGAGCATGCTGTGTTCTCTCCCTTGAAACCATGCGGCCGCCATGCTCAAGAAACCTAATGCCTTTTGCTACGGTCGTCTCCAACTGCTGATACCTTCGTCCTCTGCTTCCCCGCCACCCGCCTCACACGCCGCCAAACGTCGACCATGGTGCTTTCCGTCCTACAGATTATACGCAACTGCACACGATATTTATGATAAGGATCTTTCATGGCCGACCTCTTCGTGTTTCACGCCCTATGACGTGTTCAAACAGGACAGGGGCGCTCCATACTCGAAGAGCCGCTTCTACGACCTGGTGAAGATTTACCACCCAGACCGACCATGCAATGACCACCCGCTCTGTAGACACCTCACACCCGAGGTGCGGCTTCAGCGGTATCATCTTGTCGTAGCAGCTCATGAGATTTTGTCAGATCCAACAAAGCGAGCAGCCTACGATCAATTTGGTACAGGCTGGAGTCTCCATCCCTCACAAGGTCCCCTGACACAGTCCTCTTGGTCCAGAACAGCGTCAGGTGACTACCACCCTATATACGCCAATGCGACATGGGAAGACTGGGAGAAATGGCATAACCGCCATCAGCCGAAACAGCAACAGATTGTCGACCATAGGACCTTTGTGACGTTCATCTTTCTTCTGGTCCTTTTCGGAAGCGCCGTCCAAGCCTCCTGGATTGGCCAGCTGAGTACCGGGTATGAGGAAAGGCTTCGGGAGATCAACGAGGAGTCGATCCGTTTACTTACCGGACGGAGGGAGGCTACCGTGAAGCAAATGGGATCATCCCAGGCTAGGGTAGAGCATTTTCTGATACGGAGAGACCCGTCGGGATCAGGGTTGAAGGAGGAAGAACAAGAAGTATATGAAAAGGTTCTCCATTCACATAAGAAGACGCCCGATTCCTCTTTGAAAATCGAGGATCCGGTCCCTTCGCGCACTCAATCTGATGGTACCCAGAAACTGGTCAAGGATTTCTGATGTTGCCCGTTTGCAAGAGGCTGCTCCGCACTAAGCAATCTCAGCTATCGCATGACTGAAAAGTCTATTTGCCGTATACGTTGTCCTGGCAGCTTCGTCTGCTCTATATAAACATTATTCTTAATGACAATTTCCACATTCCACTGACCGATCTCGATGGATAATCAGCTCATTAAGTCTGAGATTTTAACCCATCAACCCTCTAGGTCAGCGCCCTGCAAGCAAAAGCGGCAATTTTGTGAGTTGGTGTCGAAAACTGTGCTTGCAAGGGAGAGAGACAGATGTTGTGTCTGTTGAACCATGGACGGGGCTAGAAAAGGTCCATACACCATTATGCTGTTGCAGCACTCTTGGTACCTCTTTTAGGAGGAAACAAGACACTGGATGCATATAGTGTGCACTGATTCGATGAGAGGCGTATTCAATGTCTTAATTGCCAAGCATATGCTTTTTTGATTTGAAAGTATTTTATGCAGGCTTCTCAGACAGAGGAGGGCAACACCAGCTCACCAGTGAGATCGGACTATGGTTCATCGGAAGGATGATGTCTGCCTTACCTAGTGACTATAAACATGGATAATATCGTCAGCATCTTCTCCATCTTGAGCACCCTTTGAGATACCTGGCAAAGAGGTGCATATTAACCCGTCTGACGGGAGAATGATAATCCCTTCAACACTACCGCGAGACTTGAGAATCCTGATCCAACAATTAGGCACTGAAGTAACTTGTACACTCTTGCAAGAGTCAATCAATACTCCTCACGTGTGTTATGTCCCTAGACTGTCACATTCGTCCTCTGAGTTCCATAGAGCGCGTTAGTTTCGACCTATTCGTCTAATCAGACAAAAAACGATCCAACAGCCATAAATAATCACGATGACATCCACGGACAAAGTGTTTGCCGGCTACGCCGCACGACAGGCTGTCCTAAAGCCAGCAACAGCCCCTACAGCCAGGGAATCGCATGGGTAGAAGGGGAGCTCGTCCCTCTAGCTGACGCTCGCATCCCCCTACTAGACCAAGGCTTCCTGCACATCGACCTCATCTACGACGGCCCCTCCGTCTGGGACGGGCGCTTTTTCCGACTAGACGACCATCTCAACCGTCTAGAAACCAGCTGCGCGAAACTCCGGCTCAAGCTCCCCTTGCCCCGCGAGCAGTTCAAGCAGATCCTGGTGGAAATGGTAGTGAAAAGCGGCATCCAATGCCTTCTTCGAGGTGATCGTAACGCGCCGTAGTGTGATGGAGGTTGCCGAAGCGAAGGGTTTTGAGATGCGGCTTGAGATGGTTCCGGTTGAAATGGCGTATAACTGCGATGAGATCTTCATGTGTACGACGGCGGGAGGGATCATGCCCATCACTTGGTTGGATGGTAGGCCGGTGACCAAGGCATATGGGATGGATATTGGGATATGCACTACGATGGCAAGTATAGCTCTGAGATTAAGTATACCGAGTGATCTGCTTTATCTTACTTTCCTTGCGAGAAATACACAGTTCATTCCAATGTACAATTTAACCATCATGGCAGCAGTAGTAGAGCAGTCTTGAGTGCTTGTACGTACCTCTCTAGTGGATCTTGCAGAATAGATTGAATACTACTATTCTTTACCTAGATTCTCTCTTATTTTTTAGGTCAGCATATATGCAGACCTATACTTAGACTCTCTACCCTAAGCCAGATAATTATAAATAGTTTAATGCCCTAATCCGGACAGCATTGTACTATTGTACATTATTTCTTAGGGTCCCCTTGGTAGTTAATAACTCATGCTGGTATGGTCAATGTCCGCCACTCGATATTTGTCAGGCATGAACAAGAAAGGGGAGTAAGTCAAGCCCTGAGCAGCTTGCTGTGCAGATTTGACTCGTTTCTCAACAGCTGCCAACACTTTAATGTCCTTCTGTTTCTTCTTTGGAGTACGAGACATGACGTCGTCAAGTTCTCCCGTATTGTCTGGGGTGGGCATATGAGGTCCAGACGGATCCGATGTTTGCTGCTGCTCAAGGGACTTGATTATCTCGCCGCCGACGTCAATAAGAGATTCTGTCTTGTCACCGGTTGCCGGGTGGGTTGTGGGTCCTTGTAACTCTTCAGACTGTTCTGGCTTGCGAGACAAATACATCTGACTTCTTCTCGAGGAGGATCTTTTGTCTGGGGTTGAGCATTTCTGTCTTCCATGTTGATGCAGTGAGACTTGGAACATCGCCATCATCATCCTCATTGTTATCATCATCTGATCCCTTGCTGTCATTATCCTTATGGGAGGTTGTTGCTTGGGAGGTTGTTGCTTGGGTGGTTGTTGCTTGGGTGGTTGTTGCTTGGGTGGTTGTTGCTTGGGAGGATGTACCTTGCGAAGATGTACCTTGCGATGTTGGTCCTTGGGTGCTCGGTCTTTGGGTGCTTGGTCCTGTGCCATTGTGATTGTCCTTTACCTTTTTAGCCTTCGATTCCCTATCTGATGACTTTGCCTTTTGCTTCAGATTAACGCCCTCCCCTAGATGACTGTTAGGTTGCTTCTGGAAAAGGCTTTTTTAGGCTGGGCCAAGAGCACATTACCTTGCCGTTTGGTTCCTAAGATTGCTGTGCCGCCATGTGGTTTATTGATATAGGATGGAGCGTGTATCTTGCACAATCAGCCCTTCAACACTCATACAATCTTGTTTATCGTATTGTCGCTGAGGTTCTTACCATAGAACACCCCCTCGTGTGACCTCAAGTTTATGTTCTTGACGTTCAAATGGAATCGTGCCAGATGGTCCGCGCCATCCCAGTCCTCTTTATTTGGTTGTGGTAAGCTGTATTTAAGGACCCCGTGGGCCTCTCCACTCAGAATGCGGTTTTGGATGTCCCCTATCCCCTTTCCTCATACCTTTGGTTGCTCCTAGCTTAAATGGTTGTTCCAAAGTTCCTCCCACCACTGCCTTACCATTCCCGAGCGTAGCCATTCAAGCTAGTCGTTGTTGTCTTCAAGATTTAGCACCTGCTGCAACTCTTTTTTTGTGCTTTCTATTTTTTTGGCTTTGGGCCCTGCATCTTTCTGTTCTGTGTCCGGTATATCGGCAAAGTTGAAATCGAATTCCGGGCCATCATCCGCCGTTTCGTCATGGTTGACGTTGGGAAAGGGTTTCTGATGTCAAAGGTGGATACAAGAAGGGAAGAGAGATGTAAGAAGGAAAGATGGAGATAGTGACATGATATTGAAATATAATACCACTAGGCTAAAAAGGTGTCCGGACATGATTCCTATCAGTCTAGGGTCTCTATATTTTTCAACACATGATAAGTAGAAGATGAGGCTATATATATAATCATGCTTAATTCTTGATATTCACTACTGTCAATGAGCAGAGTGAATATAGCCAGTGAATAGTGAGAATCAATGAGCAGAGTGAACAGAGTCAAGGTCAGTAAATAGAATGAACTGAGATAATAGTAAGAGAATAATGATATCTTTGTATTATCTATGGTCCTGTCCTGTCTCCACTAGGTGGTTGAAGATATTACTCTAAAAGGCAATTTACCCAGCACAGGCCCGCTCTGTCTTCCACGAATCATCACACCTACGTATTCGACACCGGCGAATCATCGGACAATCCCACCATTCAAGCTGTAACTACAACAGCACCATATTAATCAGTGCGGATCACGACTTTCAAATAATCCAGCTAGCTAGTTGTCTTCTGAAGCCACCGTCTCCACCTCAGGTATATAAACCAGCGCCCACCTCATACATCATAAAACCACCGCAAACCAAACCTGCAAGTCACCAGCACGACAATGGCAGCGACCGAAAAGCGCCCCGAGATCATCGCTCTCGCGCGCGAACTCAAAGATGTGCCCATGTGCGAGGAATACGAGCGCATGGTCTCCGGCATGATGTACAACCCCAACACCCCCAAACTACTCGAGGCGCGGCATCGGTGTCGCGGGCTAGCAGCCGACTACAACAGTCTGGACACGAAAACGGTGCCCTACGATCAGATCGCCGAGAAGAGGCTCGAGCTGCTCCGGCGCGTGGTCGGCAGGGCGGGCGACGGAACGTTTATCGAGCCGCCGTTCTTGCCGGACTACGGATGTAACATCATTATCGGCAGAGATTGTTTCGTCAATTGGAAGTACGTCGTCTCCATGTTCATGTCCTGCGATTCGTATTGGTTGCATACGCTGGACTGACTGACGAATCAGTCTCACTGTGCTGGACACCAGCCTCATCGTCATTGGTGACCGGGTCCAGATAGGAACGAACGTCAGCATCATCACCGCCGGCCACGACACGAGTATCCTGTCGCGGCGGAAGTTTGTGGAATTCGGCCATCCCGTCTTCATCGAGGATGACTGCTGGATTGGCGCGAATGTCGTCATTCTGCCTGGTGTCAGAATCGGACAGGGTTCGACGATTGGCGCGGGCTCCATCGTCACCAAGGATATTCCGCCCTTCTCTGTGGCAGTGGGGACTCCGTGCCGGGTCAAAAGGACGATTCCTTCGGCGGAGGAGGAAGAGCAGGATGAGACGAATCCTTTTAGGAATCTGGTGCGCGAGGATCGGTAGTACTTGATAGCCACGGTTTGGAGCTACCGTTTCAACACCATTAAGAATAGCATCAGCACTGCGTGATAGAAAGCAATGATTTTCCCTTGGCGGGTTCCTCACGCTCAGAACGCGAATACGGACGGTAGGCCTTATCCATCCAAAATGTACTGGGTGGAACGGTTCGACCTATGACGATGCTGTGGGCCTGTGGCAGCCTGAAGCGATCCCGTATGATAACATAAGACATGTTTTTGAAGGTAACCGAATAGCAACGTGATATCAGACAATTCATAATAGGAAATAAAGCAATGTAGCATAGGATACGAATGCCCCAAGAACGGATTATATTCCGCCGGAGCTCCTTCCCCTACTCACACTGGTCCCTCCTTTTTTTCGAAGGCATTGTGTCTTCTTTATCGATGGCTTTTATACTGTCCGCCCAAGTGGGGTCATGTAGCGTTAGAGCTTTCTCAACTTGCTTTATAAACACGTTTTCATAGCCAGGATACTCATCAGACCATTGTTTCAAACATGGTTGAGCTCGGGAGCCATGTCGCGGATCGCTCTGATGCAATGCTCGCCAGATCCATATATATAGTAGATGTTGCCGTCGGGTAGACAGTCACCAGTATCGTCATCGGCGTCGGTGGTATGAGGAGCCCAGGCCTGGTTCCAAGCTTTGGACACATTGGACGCACGGCAGCCTTCTTGAGCGATCGCGTTGCCGACAAGCCGGGGTACGCCCACAATCACATAATACTCCTCACTGTTGAACCATAGGCGCACACCCTGCAGCGGACCCTGGTGCGGGGAGTCCTGGCGTCGGCCGTGGCAATCCTCCGGCGTGGTAGGTGCCGATGATCGGTTCTTCGTTGTAATTCTACATTTTGCTGGCGGTTCTGCGCCGCAGGTTATAGGTAGATGAGACACAGCAGAAGATATTAGAATGAAAGGTAAAGAGATATAAGTGAGAAGTGTAGGATTGTTTGCCGCCTTAGGTTCAGGCGAAAAGAGCTTGAGGAACTTGTCTTGGTCCTTACGAGAGAAACAGTCTCCCTTTATAGACAAATGCAGAAGGACTGGACGCAGGTTGACACAAACACTTCCAGCTCTCATATCCATCTTAGCTGAGGCGAGATCCCTTTTCTGTATAGAGTACATCGCGCACAAATCCGAGCTTTGTTGGCCCAATCGAATTCCCTTACCCCCTTGGTCGCTTGGATTGATGGGACCTGGAGGAGGGGTTTAGCGATGAGCTTTCAGCCTGTAGAAAGCGCACTTCCCGCAGCTCTTTCTTGGATGCCATTAGACTGTACTGCCCGAATAGAATGCCATTGAACGAGATCTGCAAAAACTAAGCCCCGCCACTCAGCAGCCTAGCGCGTGGTATAGATTGAATCGGGTCATCCCAGTTTTCCAGAATCTGAGCAGCACAGAGTAGGTGGATAGTTGAGCACAGATACTGCGTAGTATATCTAACCAAATCGTGGATCGACCCCACCTTACGGAGTATTGATTCGGGGATCCACAGGACCAGAAGTAAGGTACTCCGTAGAGCGCTCGCTCTCAACTGATGCGACAGCCAACTTCATGAGTTTTGAAGTTGGCACAGGCGACAGACCTAGACACTACAATACATTGAAACAACAGGAATCTCGGATGAATACGAAAGTACCTAGATTAGCGCATCTTGGCTAGTTTTGAGGAGCAATCAAAACAGTGAGGTTTTAGTGAGCAGGTTTACTTTTTATGCACACCTGGGAATACGCTGTTGGTTGGTAATCATATAACATAATAACTTACATGCCTCTTGTTTTGGGAAGTCTAGAATCTGATGAGTCAAGTAACCAAGGTCCTATAACCATGACTCATAACTGGTTGTGCACAACTCTGTACCTCAAAGCGCTGCCTACTGGAAAATAGTGCCCTGGGCAAAGAACGCTGGTCCTAAGTGTGCTGACAAGGCAAAGGATGGGGCTAAGCCTCGGGCGGCCCCTCGGCCACAAAAGTACTGTACAGTGGGCCAACCGGAGGTATTTTAGAAGCTTATTCTCTATCACTCACGGAATATCCTCTTATTTTAACCCTACAACTAGTAGATACAACCATCCATAATGATGGTATTTGGGATGTTGTACTTGCATCGGAGCTGGAGGATCTGACTGGCGCATCTATCTCACGCAGGTACCCAGGGCATAGTTTAAGATCGATGCTACGTGGCTCGTTTCAGTCGTACACAGCGCTTTTCGGCAGTACCTTACAGCTTCTGCAGGTAAGATATTGATTATACTGACACCTGGAGATATATCTGGAAATAGTAAAGAGGATATTGATAAACGTGATGGTGACACTAAGGACCACTGAGGGTTTTCACAGTGGCTCCTTGGCCCCTGCAGGTCATGGGAGAGAAACAGGGCAGTGTCTGCAGGGAACGGAATATCAAATCTAAACGTGACACACTTTCACAATAGTAAAGTCATACTCGATTTTAGTTCTTGATTATCAGCCCAGATACCTGCTGTCAGGTGCTCTAGATGGAAATGTAGTGAAGAACGGAGGGAGCCACGTAGCATCAAATATGGGTACCTGCGTTGAAGATACATAGATCCGCCAGTCAAATTTACCACTAGTAGATGCGAGTAAGACGCCCGGATGTGGCTGAGGCTTCATTTAAGAGAGATTATTGTGCTGGCCTTATTGCAGATAAACAAGAGGATGAAGAAAATCTACAATAGGCTTATCGAGTATCGACTATTCTCTTCCTGCTTCCCTCGCTAATTACCGTATTTGTATTGATCCTTGGCTCAGCTGGTCTCTTGCTTGCTCCTCAAAATTGCTTCAGGAGTCAGGACTATTGAATAGTATCATGGATTTCTCCAATATTCGTACCTTTACTATGATTTACTACTTCACCCGTGAGCCTCTATCTTATCACCTTATAATTCGTAATGTATGTCTATTCTCGTATGCTGTACTTGTACTGCCTCAGGTACCGACTCAAGTGGGTAGGCACTGTAGCTCCGCCTCCCGCGCGGGAACCAGGGTTCTTTGCCCCGGCGCCCCAGGGCACTTTTATATGATTCCTGGGATTCTGGTAGGCAGCACTTTCTGCCTCGAGCGCAAAAGGTAGATAGTAGTAAGGAAAGCAGGGAATTATCGATCAGAAAGCAGACGTCATTATTAGAAAAACCAGAACTGAAACTGAATTGACTCTTCAGGTAGGGGTCTCCCATGACCTGCCCCAATCAGGACCGTCAGCCTGATGCTGTCCACGGGAACGGGGTCCAAATGTGACCAGCTAGGAACTGCCACCCGCAGGCACCAGGCTGCTTACTGCTTAGGTGCTCTACTAAGTAACTAGTCATTCTTCAAGGCTGGTCATCTTGCCCACAGTACCTATCATCTGGCCCTACCCTCAACCACCTATCACAAGAGCTTTGCGTACCTTCACGATCGTCGCGGCAACTATAACTGTTATTCATTCTATTTAAGATGGCCCTCCTCCCCTATCCTCACCCCTCACCCCTCTCCCCTACCTGCTCTTCCATCTTCGCTCACTCGACAGTATCCTCTACTATGCCCTTTTTTTTATCTTCATCTCAATATTAGCGAATCTCTTTAATCATCTTTTTCACAATCAATGATCCCCGCATAACCTTGCCATCGAAAACCAAGCCGCGTGATACGAGCTAGCCACCTGGCTGGCCCCCTCTACTCATAATGACCGACTGGGCTACCAAGGTCAAGACGATCGGTCTCACCCAGGTCTATTGCACGAAGGAAAAGCCGCTGGTCGATATCGTCTTCGTGCATGGACTCAACGGTCATCCGTACAATACCTGGTCGACAAAGGAACCGCCCGTTTTTTGGCCGGCAGATCTACTTCCCAACCTGCTCGAGCCTTGCAAGGTTCGGATTCTCACTTACGGCTATAACGCCAATGTCACTGCGTTTACCGACGGAGCATCAAAAGATCACATCCATCAGCATGCCGAAACCTTAGCCTCAACCCTAGCTGCCAATCGCAACGTAAGTTACATCTTTCCCCTCTACCTTGACCTCGCTAAACCGCTGATTCTAGCTTCGCCAATGTCCGGATCGGCCCATCATCTTTGTTTGCCATTCACTGGGCGGTCTCGTCGTCAAACGGGCCTTGATCTACTGCAGGAGCGTTTCGAATGAAAAGATCGAGCACCTTCGGTCGATCTTCGTCTCAACGTACGGTATCCTTTTCCTGGGAACCCCCCACAACGGCTCAGACGTCGCGAAATGGGGCGTGCTACTGCAGAACATCTGCAGCGCTGTGCTGCCAAAGAAGTTCATGGAGTCTTCCCCACAGCTCATCAAAGCACTGAGGACCAACAATGAGACTCTCCAGAACATCAACAGTCTTTTTGCCGACATTATGGGGCGCTTCCATCTCTATTTCTTCCATGAGACTCGATCCACGGACGTCAAGGGCACCCGCGAACTAATTGTGGACGAAAGCTCTGCCGCTCCTTACTTTGAAGGCGTCGAGCGAATGGGCATCGAGGCGGACCACAGCCATATGTGCAAGTTTGCAGATGAGGATGCCCCCGGTTTTGAGGCGGTAGCTGAAGCTTTGCTTCGGTATTCGCGTGATGCTCCTTTGACCATCTTTGATAGATGGGTTGAGGAAGAAAAGACCCGCTTGGTCATCCGGCAGACCAAAGCCAAAGAAATCTTCAACAACGGTATGTCCATGCATCATGTGCAAAGAGCCGTAGCCTTTACTCATTTTCGTTATAGAAAACATCAGCCCGTCATCCAGCATGCACAACGTTCAGACACCTGGTAGGAATCAACCCCTCCTTCTTCCACCTCGGTCATCTGGTTCTATTACCCTGCGGGATTATGAGATTGAGGAACCTGCAGATGCTTGATTTATGAATTGTTCGCTTCGCCATGAAAGCAATCTCTTTGTCCCCTCCTGAACTTATACTCATCCCCGACATTGGAAGATCTTGAGCCCGGAAACGCGCAGGCCCTTGGTTCCTCCATGCCATTCCCTGCTCCTGCTTCCAAGCAACAAGCGATGATTAGTCGGAAGGGGGATGGAGAAAGAGATGCAAATGAATAAAAACCAGAGAAAAAAAAATTCTGATTTACTCGATTGCTTTGCCCTGTTGACCTTACGGCACTTGAAATATTGTTTTTTCTCCCTGTATTATAGTTATTGCTGTGCCAAACAAGATAGTCTTCTCAGTCAGACCATTGCTGACTTTTTCTCTCTCTTAGAAAATCCCGCAAATCGACCTGCCTTGAAAGGAGGGGGTGGTGAACCCCCCGATCCCGGCCCATCCAATAGCACAACGCAGCTTGCCTTGTCACGATCATCGCTGAGAGATCCGCTATTTGTGGTGCCAGCAGGCTTCCATCCCAATGCCACTTTCGTTGGCATGACCAGAGAGCTGGATATCTTACACGCTCGGTTATACAGAGCTAAGAAGCGGGCTGAGCGCCTTGCAGCCGTCTTGATATGCGGGGGCCCTGGAGCCGGAAAGTCTCATCTGGCAAGACAATACGTGTGGACCCAGCGCGACTGTTACCCCGGCGGCATATTCTGGGTAGATGCTAAATCACGAGAGTCAACTAGCAAGTGCTTCTGGGACATCGCGCAGGCTGCGAGTTTAACGGACGATCTTGAATTCGAGAGCCCGGACTTCAAAGCACCGCAGAAGTACGTAGAGGTGGTCCGCAACTGGTTCCAAGCTCGAGAGGAATGGCTTCTCGTCTTCGATGGTCTCAGCTTTAATCAGGAAGATGACCTTAACCATTTCAGGCAGTTTTTGCCTTTCAACAGACAATGTAGCATTATCTACACCTCGGTGGATCGAACACTGCGGAAGAAACAGCGCCTCTACGAGCCTTATTGTCTTCAAGTGCCCCCTCTGTCGGTCGAGGATGCGTGCAAGCTCTTGTTCAAGGATTTGGGAATCAAGAGACCCACGAAAGAACAGGTCCGCAAAGCAGCTGAACTGGTCATGCACTATGAGTGTCTGCCCCTTGCCATCCATGCGATCAGCCACCGCCTCAGTGCAACATCCAAACCAATTGAAAGGTATCATATTAACTCGCATCTGACGGATGAAAAGCTTGCGGAGCCCTTCCTCAGTATCATGCACGACCTCTACCGGATGGGGCATTTTGAGGCCCTGAACCTGATCAATCTCCTCTCTTTCTTCGGACACCATGTGCCGCTTGGGCTCATCAACTTGGGCAGATCAGTTCTGGAGACCTGGAATGTCGAAATTCTCACAAGCAGTAGGCCCGGGGAGCGCGGGGATATCGACACTACTTTAGGAATCTTAATTCGGTACGGTCTCATCGAGAGGACTTCAGATGCTTACGTTCTAAAGGATCTCTCCCCTCAATCTGAGAAGGAACTGATATTCGACCCCAGAGCCGTGGTGCCCGAGCTATCCGAATCGCAAACGGAGAGCAGTAGCCAGGAGGCCAGCTTCTCCATCTATCAGCATGCGGGCTCGATCGATGTCATTAAAATTCATAGCGTGGTCCAGGGATTCTGCCGCGACGAATTGAAAATCATGGATGAAGAACAAAGGAAGCAGTCATCCAGGCTAGAGGCTCGACGAGGGTCCGGGGCTGGATCAGTCCATGAATCAGGGTCAGGCTCTGGAGTTGTCAAAGCCGAGGCCGGCTTCTACGAATCATGGCTCGTCGTGGCCATTCGCCTTCTCTGCAAGTCGTACGAGAACGCGAAAAAGCGCATGGAACTGGTCGACGATTACGGCCTGGTTAAGGATTACCGAGAATATGAAACTCATGCATCCCGGTTGATCGAGAACTTCCCGAAACGGGCCTCGAAAGAGAAAATCGTTCAAGAGGCGCGTAACGAATTAAAACAGCTGATGAGGAGCATCTCCAGCGAAATTGAACGCTTGTCGCCGCATTCTTCGCAAGACTCCATTCGCAAACACCGGTCTGTGTTTGATAGATCAAGCAGCTCTTCATCGTCCGTGCCGGATTCTGACGGGAGCCCTTCGAGGCAACTAACATGGGATCTCGCGGATGAATCGGCAAAAGTTGAGTCACCGAAGGAGCTGCCCGCTACGGCGCACCTTTTCAACCTGAGCCCCTTTCTCCCTCATATTTTTCGCGAATCGAGTAGCGAGCAGGAGGCCGAGAGAGCCAATCAGGAGAAGATGGAAGCGTCTTCGCTCTCGCAGATGAGTCAGGCTACGGAAAAGCCATTGATTGCTTCAAGCCCGCCACGGGACGATCAAGGCTGGCAAGTTGTAGAGAAGCCACAGAAACCTAAGCCTGGAAAGGAGAGGCAGCCGAAACAGCGCCCAAAGTTTCCAACCTACATACATGGCTCCAAACCGGCAGCTCCTGTGCTCAAGGTATTCCCTGTTGAAGGGAGGAGCGCGTCAAGCAGTAGCATGGAGAAAGGCCGTAGTAGTTCTTCCGTCTCTGCCACGGAAGCACTGACATCAGTGCAGAGTGCCAGCCCTCGCCGATCCGAGGAAGATCTGCCTGCTGGTCAAGCAAACCGAACATGGGCTGCCGTGGTGGCCAAAGCCAAGCGCGCCGCAGAGGCACGAGGAGCTCCTTCGTTATCGCCGAAACAGCGGCCCTCGTCGTCACCTGGGGAGACGAAGCGCCCGAGTTTGCCCGTCCCAAAGCCGCTGGAGAGCAAATCTTCGGGGGAAACGTTGGGAACCGATAAGACACAGCTACGCTTCCAGGAAGATCGATTGAGCCGATCCACGTACAGTGAGCCAGGCCCAGAACTACTCACACAGCAGCTGCACGCACTGGACCTGGGAATTGCACCAGATTCACACTACCACTACCGTCAATTATCCACGTCAATGACAGCGGCGCCGTTAAGGGACATGTCGGCCAGTACGCCGTCGATTTTGGCATTTCCCCCACAGCCGCTCCCGTACGAGAATGACATCGAAATCACGGTTTCACGACGCTTGAATGCGAGCAACATGCCGCCACCGCCGCCTGTCAGTCAGTCGGCCGCCACTTTTGGCCCAATCCCCCCCTTCCAAGCCACACACCATTCAATCACACACCCATCCGCCATCTTGCCGGGTGCCTCACCACCAGTTTCGATCATCACTGATGGAATCGGAAACACGGGTTACACATCCGATCCACCTCCCGCTTTGGAGCCATTGTCACGAGGGCCTTCGGGGCAGTCTTACCAGTCCTGGTCACCGGAACCAGAGCCGGAGCCCATGCGCCTTCCACCACGGCTCGTCCCCTTGCCCACCAACTCGGTGGTGTACATGCCCCAACAACAGACGCTTTCTGGGGCTGGCGGCTGGATCAGTGATGCGCAGCAACCAGCAAGCCTGAAAAGTGTCGGCTCACCCGAGGATCCAGGGATTCTGCACTTCGGGGCCCATCGAGTCGATGTGCGGGACGCTCGGCAGAGGCTCGAAGTGGGTGGGCGCTATCAGGTCTCCGGTGCCTCGTGGCAATTATATCACTCAAATAGATCGGGTCCTCTCATCCGTCCGAGTCAGGATGCGTTGACAGGTGCAGCCACACAAGGAACATACGTTCGACGACCCCGAAGTGGCAGCTCCCCAATTCACCCCTGAGTTAAAGACTGGTTTTTAATTTGTCACTGGGATGATGAGAAATGAGGTGAGAAGAAGAAGCAGGGGGAAAAGAAAAGAAAGAAAGCATCAGGCAGGTACTGATGCAAATGCATATGAGCACAGGTTGGAGTTACGCACTGTCAGCATTCACTTTCATATTAGCATTGTCATTCAAAGTTTTGATCACTTTGATCAATGTTCATGCATATAAGATGGGAGATAGAGGGGCATAGTGAACAGGCGTTTACTGATCCCTTGGGCTTCTATACCTGCTTTCCTTTTTTGATGTTTGGCATAGCCTTGTTATGGAAGAGACTTCGTGCATCTCACGGTAATAGTCATAGAGAGAGAATAGATGGACACCTTGGTTAACAGGTTTTAGTATGCCAGAGTCCAATGGTTGAGGTTATAACGACTTCCAAGGCCAAAGCCCAACACTGATCTAATTTGCCAGATTAGAAGCCTTTTGATCTGAAAATAAGCCATTACCTGTCTAAGATGATGCTATTCTAGAAGTTATGGATTTCCCAACGCTAGACAGTGCAAGGCTCACCATCGCGTGAGCTTCAGACTATATTTGTCATCTCTTGCACCTCAACGTTTCCACTTTCGTCTCCAACAGCCCCCTCCCCCTCTCTGTGCTTCTTATTTCTCAACCACAGGTCTGAAGCAGGCTGCAAGTGAGACTGCTACATGGTACTCTCTGAGCGTCAAGAGCCTGCACTGTTCCTGGTCAGACACACCGTCCTGTATTGGCCGATAAAAAGGGCTGATAGATTGGCATAGTACATGCATGGAACGACTGGGGTTCGGAGGCACATGCAGACACATCATCAGACAGCGAGGACTATGCTTCCATTCAACTGCCGACTCCGACTTGAGGAATGGTTGTTTAAAGTAATAGACAAACGCTTCCATGGTTTGAGTCGCCGAATTTATTCCGCAAGGGGCAGTGGGTATACCCAGCGACAACACTTCTCCCTTGAGTCAGAAATGATCTATAGCAACTATGCAGTTTGAGATACTTCCATTTGAGGAAGTTAGATCAGCTCCTCAGCGTCTCCTCCGTTGACCGGGATGGTATGCCTCATGTGGCACAGAGTCCAAACATGCCTCATACCTGTACATACTGGGACCCTGTTATCGACTCCCCAAATGTTTCACTGGTCAAAGTGAAGAAGAGGCTTGTTCGATGCACTCTGCCTTAGCTCTCAGAAGTACAGCATGGCATCAAAGCAATCTCTGGCGCGAGCTCTGTGTGTCACCCATCAGCGTTGAACAATGTGCTGCATTGCAGTGTACGTCTAGACTCTCTGGCGCGTTGTACAAGGCAGCGGTGAGAAAGTGAAGACGTGAGCAATTATTACACTTATAATCAGCGTTTTGTGCGCTTATCTTTGAATGAGTCTGCATTGAAGGGCTGTGGAATGAAGCATCCTTAGGGCATATGGATGCGTACGCTCTTGCTATCCCTTACTTCATATTTCATACCAACTCCGGACTGCGGCCCTCATTCCACTACCAGGCTGATAAAAAATCCATATAATGCGATGGCATAGCCCGTCTTGCACAGCAGGCTTTAATATCTTCGAAAGTGTGGGAACACGGTTGCAAGATGGCCAGTTCCAAGACAGAAAGGTCCGGTCCAGCAAGCGTCGTGGCCGCTGACGAGGCCTTGCTACAAGCGCGAGGCCAGCAGATAGAGCTCCCACAGCAATTCTCTGCAATCTCAGCTCTGTCATTTGCTTATATTGCCACAAACTCCTGGATTGGTTATTCTGGGACCTTCGTCACTGCGTTGCTGGCCGGTGGAGGGCCCGCCGTGTTTTATGGTGTTATAGCGGCTGGAATCGTGTGCACTATCATCAGTACGCCTGCGTCCCTCAATTGCCTGTAGTACGCTGATTCGATATGCTATCTCAGCCCTGGGTCTTGCCGAGTTGGCATCTGCGTTCCCGTCGAGCGGAGGACAATACCATTTCACGTTTATGGTCTCATCACCAAAGACTCGGACACCCTGTGCTTTTGTATGTGGCTGGCTCAGCTGCCTTGCTTGGTGTCTGGGCACAGTGTCTGGCGCCATTTTCACCGGTATGCCATGAGTCTCTGTAAGACTTTTGAGTAGGCTCAACTTACGATGAAAAGCTCAAGCGATCCTTGCGCTCGTCTCCTTCCTGAAGGAGGACTACCAGCCCAGGCAGTGGCAGACATACCTCGTTTTTCTTGCTCTTATTACACTGGCGACGGCAATGGTTTGTCTCCTTGCGCAGTGGCTGCCGCGAATGCAGGAGGTCATGCTCTGGAGCAGCATATCTGCGTTTGTTGTGTGTCTCGCCGCGGTTCTCGGAATGAGCAAAAGCAAGCAACCTGCCCGCGTTGTTTTCACTCAGTACGAGAATGAGACGGGATGGCCCGACGGCTTGTCGTTCCTCATAGGACTCGGGACCTGCATGTATATGTTCGGTGCCACCGACGCAGCGACACATATCGCCGAGGCATGTCTCATAAATTCAAATGCCCGCACTTCGAGTGACTGACTTATTCGCAGGAGGTCCCGGATCCAGGCCGGACTATTCCCAAGGTGATGTGGCTAACGCCCGTGATCGGGATAGCCACGGCGGTGCCGTTTGTCGTGGCCACCTTATTCGCAACAGTCGACCTAGGCGAGATCGTCCGGTCCGATCTGCCTATCCTGACGTTGTATCATCAAGCGACTGGTAGCAAAGACGTAGCCACCATTTTCACCGTCTGGCTTATTTTCAACTACTTTGGAGGCACGATCGCCATGGTCACGACATCCGGCCGCATGGCTTGGGCTTTTGCCCGCGACAATGGGCTGCCAATTTCCAGAACGTTAGCCACAGTGCACCCGCGATTCCAAACGCCCGTCGCCTCGACCGTTGCCTGTGCCGTGCTGATGGCACTTTATGGTCTTGTCTACATTGCGTCCAGCACGGCATACAGCAGCATCGTCTCGATGGCGATCCTGTCCATGAACGTAACGTATGTGATTCCACAGGGCATCGTGCTCTTCCGAGGGCGCGAGAAAGTCCTTGTCGACCGCTACTTTGATTTAGGGCGGTATGGGGTCTTTGTCAATGCGTTCTCGTGTCTGTGGGTTGGGCTGTATACGGTCATCTTCTGTTTCCCGACGATCATGCCGCCCACGCCGTCCAATATGAACTATCTGGCTCCTGTTGTTGTCGTCATCATCGTCTTGATTCTTGCTGTGTGGTACGGTGGGAAGAAGAAGACGTTTTCCGGGCCGGTGAGTATGCAGCAGAAGTGTTGTGTGGGCTTTACTGATATGGTTTCTTCCAGAGTGTTGTAATTGCAGAGGCACTGGCCCAGGAGTCAAGCATTGCAATCGTGGCGAAGCGAGAGTCTTCACCTTAGATGACTTACAAGAGGCAGCGCCCACACTCGTCCAATGCTCTCCTTAAGTTAGACAGCATATATAGAATCTCAGCAGGATCCATAGCCTGTTTACCATTACAGCAGATCAATGCTATCTCGTAGACTACATACCCTACCTCCCCCGAAAAGCAGGCTTCCTCTTCTCCGCAAAAGCCCTAAGCGCCTCATACCGATCCTCCGTCTCGATCACTCCATTGTACGCCTCATTCTCCGCCGCCTCCCCGCGCTGATAACCCGCAACTGCCTGAATCGCCTGCTTGATCGCAATCGGGCCCCCCTCACAAATATCCAGCGCAAGCTTGATACTCTCCCTCAGCACCTTCTCCCTCGCAACCCCCTCCTTCCCCTCCTCCTCGGGCAAAATCTCCACAAGCCGATCACAGAGACCCAGGAAGTACGCCTCGGGGCCCGACACCCGCCGCCCCGTGAGAATCATGTCCCGCGCGCGGTTCACCCCAATCAGCGCAGGGAGGCGATATGTGCCGCCCGCGCCGGGGATAATGGCCAGCCGGGTCTCGGGTAGTCCGACGATAGCAGACGACCCGAAGACGCGCAGGTGCGTGCACAGCGCGAGCTCGAGGCCGCCACCCAGCGCTGTGGAGGAGATCGCCGAGATGGTGGGGATCTGGAGCGCGGCGAGGTCGTGGAATGTGCCGCGGAGTTTGGTGAGGAATGCGTTTGTCCTGGCGCCCCCCAGAATCAGCAAGATAGATCTATAGAGTGCGCTGTTGGGGGGTGTGACACTTACTCCTCCTTTGTCATCTTCGCGCGCTCTTTGAGGTCCGCGCCGGCGCAGAAGGCGGCGTCGGCGTTGCTGGCGATGATCAGGGCGCGGGTTGGGCCTGTGCCGCCTTCGGCGGCGATGGAGTGGATCTGCTTGGAGAGGGCATCGAGGAGGGTCCGCGAGAGGGCGTTACGGGCTTTGGGGCGGTTGAGGAGCAGGACGCGGACGCTGCCGGATCCTGGCGCGGGGACTTGTTGGGTTTGGATGACGGCGTCGTCGGCACTGGTGCTGTAGCGGGAGATGGTGACGCGGAGCGAGACGATGCGAGGGGAGCTCGAGAGAGCGGGTGCGAGGCGTGGGAGTCGGGGCGGCATTTCCTCAATATCGATCGGACTTTAGAAAACAGAGCTTGAAGCAGGTGAGATTGAGCACAGTCGGAATGAAATAAAAGAATTAAAAAGATCGATGTTGAAGCTCTCCGGTCGTTCTCCAAACTCGCGGGGAAAGCTTTACACCCGCTGTGGGGAAACCGAAGTATGCCGCGGATAAGCGGATGATCATTTTTGAAACCTGGACAACATTCTAGCGAAAGGGTATCTATCATGATTGATTGCCACTAAATGAATATATATATACAGAATCTAATGTACAGACTTGCTAAGGTCCCCAATGTAAATACTCCCAGACTTCATCATCGCTTGGCCAGGAACCCCACAACGGAGTCGCCGCGACAATCTCATGTGCCTCGTGCAGCTTCGAATCGGACACACTCGCGTCTGTATCTGAGACATCGTTGAAGAGATATTCACCCCCGGCCATTGACTCCGACGGCAAATTATCAGATGAGCCCCAAGGTCGTTTCCCTTCGTATCCTTCGAGGAACACGCGCAGTGCAACCAGAGCACGCCGCATCATGCGATCGCCGTTCATATGCTCATCAGATGCCTCTTTGAGGGTGGGGGCATTCTGGCTCATCCATCGAAGCAATTTCAATAGGCCGTCATGATCCCCAGCCAGCCCTAGCGCTCTGACGAATGCGTGTAGAACGGCTGGAGAAGGCACGTGAAGCATAGGAGGTACAGCCACCGGCGGACTCGTGGCACTCTCAAAAGTGCCTGCCGAATGCTCAGCAAAAGGGGCATTTCTCGGATCCGAAAGGACGAGCTGGTCAAAGTGTTCCTTGAGAATGGCAAGTCCACTCCGAACCATGTCCTCAAAATGGGGACGCAGTACCTTGGAGTGTTTGATGCTCCCTCGCCGTGCTGCTTCATGAACAATTGCCAGGCCCTCTTCTGCGGCATGTGGATGTTTCAAACCTGCCATCACAGCCTTTGAGAAGCTGGCGCAAAGGACCTGATGCCCCTGCAGACCAGGCTCAATTGCACGTTCTTTCATCCAACCGATGACCTCAACCATCTCATACCAGGCAAGCACACGTTGTGCACTGCGGCTCATCCTGCGATATGGCGTTCTGATGCGATCCTTGCTCAACGCTGTTAATAGATGAATCCACGGAGGTGTGAAACGGGAGTTTCGAAGTTTCAACAGCTGGATCGCATGCGACAAGGTTTTCGGATGCTGCAAGGTACTGCTTGCTCCTGAGGTATGAACAGTGGAAAAAAGCGTTGAGGTTTTCGGCTTGTTCGGATGGATATTCCTCATGATAATGGGGAAGAGATCGGCCGTGCGAATATCATGCCGTTCCAAGTGCAAGGAGTCAAGACTCGAAAAGTTGCAAAGAAAGCCTATGAAAGACGAGAAGAGATAGTCCGGCAGTTCAGCCAAAACCTTTGAATCCAACGCATCATAATCCGACGTACGTTCCCACACAGTGCACAAAGCTTGGATCTGTTCGTTCGACAAGTCACTGCAACTGAGATAATCCAATCCGCAATTGAATGTTGGCGCAGATCGCAGAAGCAAAGCCAAAAATCTCCCGGATGGACGAATACCCTGGGAAAGCATCTGTTTGAGAAGCTCTTCCAAGGTAGGAGGCTCCGTGTGTACGTAAATCAAATCGCGGGCGGAAGCAGGTTCCGGGAAGACTTCCAGCCCATCGCCAGGTAAAGAATGACTGATATGGTCGAAGTCATTCTCCAGCGCTTTCCTCCGGAAAATCAATTTCTCAGCCATAGCGACGTAGATACTCGCTCGCGGCGGTAGGCCTAGATCTTGATATGACAGAAAACAAGCCCAGGCCTCCCGCACCGTGCGCGTGGCGCGGATTCGGGCCACCCAGACTGCATGATGATCCGGCTTGCTTCCTGCAGGCCCACGTAGCAGTTGCGGTCGACGCATCAAGGCCCTGGTTTGAACCGTCGGGCTTTTGTCCGTGTCCCAGCCTGCCAATATCCCAGAAACCTCTTCCCAGCGAGTGTGAGAGTAGCCTGCCTCTCTCATTTGAGCCATCACGCGCATGGCACGGCTCTTCATTCCTTCATTCCCTCGTTGGGAGTCGATTCCAAGCTTTTCTTCCTTCCACGGTGGCCACGATGGTGCTTTTAGTTCTGCCGATTGCCGTTCGGCGGACGTCTTCTTGTGGGCCAATTGCACAGCAATGATACCTTGATAGCCCTGCCGCGTCACCGGAAGGACCGGATTGTGTCCTGCCATAGCCTTGAGTAGCTCGAATTGAGCTTGTTGCTGTACAGAAACGAATTTGAACGGGCCTGCTTTGCAAGGTAACGAGAGCAGCCAGAGACATGCGTTGAACTTGTCAGCCATGAACTGGTTCCTCCGGTGTCTGGCGATCTCCGAAATCTCTTGGTCGTTTCTTAGCAGAGTCAGATAGGATGCGAAGGCACGCGCGATGGTGAGCTGGGCCTGTGGCCATACTTCCCGAGCATGACGAAGCAGACGGGTAACGAACGCGAAACACGTAGTAGGGTCTATGAGGGGTTCTGTTTGTTGTGAATCGAGGTTGACCTCGAGCTCTTGGGCTGTGTATTGTACGCGCGTGAAGACGTCGAAAGGCGGAATTTTTCGGCCAGTGATGGTGTGCAGGGAATAAATCAGCAGCAAGCGAAAAGTCTTCGCGTCGAGGCTTTGTCTGCGCAGGAGAAGTAGAGGAATGAACGGAGGTATGAGCCGATGTTGGGAACCAGGTCTGGCTCCCTCAGCAGACTCAGCCATCAAAATTCGGAGAGCAGCCCCGTGAGAGGTGTTGCTCCGGAGAATCCACGACCAAAGCAACACATCGCTAGGGCTGCAATGCCGTGCCGTCAAATACTCGATGATTTTTGGCGAGAACGCCCGTCGCAATACCGCATCCAGCTCTGGCGTCGCTTCGGTATCGTCATGTGCTCTATGTACCCGGCCCAAGATAGGATCCACAAACCGTATCCAATCCGCAAGAATAGTCTGCAACGATAATCTCGGTTGTTTGCGAGGCGCTTCTTTCTGCCATTTTCCATAATCACTCCCGATGAGATTCGTAGGCTGTGTCTGACCAGGTCCATCTCCGGTAATGCGTGCAGAAGTAAGGAGAACATCGAGTAGATACTGCGTAGGCGTCACAATAGAAGACTGTGTTCCCTTCACTTTCGTGGCCTTTCGAGAAGACATCGCTTTCTTTTCGGAATGTTCGGTCAAAGTAGCATCGTGCTCGTGCGAATTTACATTGACAATTGACGGTGAATTGTCCGATTCGCCAGAGCTTTCATTACGTCCGCACAGGTGATTCGAGCCGGAGGGCGAAAACGATCGGCTCAATTGAGACTGATTTCGGATCCTACACCACAAGTTATGCCAACGGTCTTCCTCGCCATTTGCATCAATCAGCCGCTCCTTCTCTGAAGAAGCGGCAGTGCTGATATAACCGTATTCCCGGAACACCCCCGCAGAACACAGGAAGCCATTGCGATGCCACTTCGTTGGGTGTGTAGGACGTGAAAAATATTTGGAGGAGCGGTCCTAATGGGATCAACGAACGAACCGTTAGCAAAGCTTCCAATATAGCCATTGTTTTGCCTAGAAAGGGTCCATCCACTCGTACCTTTGGCCATGGACAATTGTTAATCAAATGCGCCGCTCTCAGAGAGGCCCCCGAGCGGCTCGGAACATGATTGAAGACCGATGACATCCATGAAGAGAATCATGAGGAGGCTGCTGAGGAGCCAGAAAAGGAACCAAAGAAGCCTCCCGACACAGATAGGAGCATCAATTAGAATGTGTTTGTTGGAAGTTGAGGAATAGTACTCCAACCAGCTCTCTACGATACTTTTGGAGCTCGGAAGGAAAATGCTGCATCACGTGAGCGGCTTGTCACGTTTTTGGCGCGGCATCGACCAGATCTCCCTCTTTACCTAACTGAGTGAATCTCCCTCCCGCCTTTGCAGTCCGAGACCAAGGCGTCGTCGTTGTTTTCGTTTTCTAAATCCCATTATCTCTTCTTTTTACTTGTAGTCATCCACAATTTGAGGATACTCGTTGTCCTGTACCCGTGCCTTTCGCCCCACCGCGGGATACAGTCGCGATTTTTCTCTCTACGAGTTGCGACCTTTATCCTTCGCTCGGCCCTGCAACGATTGGCGCATGCGCATCGGAGATCGAGCAAGCCTCAAAACACCGATATTCTTTCAGGAACTCAGGGTCTCAGTTCCGATTCTCGTCTCAACAACATTCATTCCTACCCTCTGATCTCTTCGCGTCGCGATCCGAGTTCAGGGATTTTATTCGCCCGAAATTCTCCTAGATCGACTCCTGTGACGAAGTCGATTTTCGTCCTCGCGTTCAAGGAGCCAAAAAAAAAACACTGCAACAACGGCGCACTTCCGGACTTGAAACCATGAGCGCAGACGAAGGCGGGGAGACGCTTTCAATTCCCGCCACCAACGGCGAACCTCAATCCGCGACTCCAGATCCGCCTGTACTGTCAACGCCTGGAAAGCGAAAGCGTGGATCGAGCCATGATGTTCATGCTGCCCAGGATGCAGGTACTTCTGAGTCGCAGGTTCAGGAAAGAGTGAAACTACACGAAACACTGTGTAATCTCGTGGATATCCTCAGCAAGTGCGCATCACCCATGCTTTGTTGATCCCTCGCTCTCGAGTTTAACTGACGTGTTCCAGGAATGATATCGAACTCCAGCTACTCTCATGCCCTCTTCCGTCGTCACCTGCGAAGCCGCGTTCGAAACGTGCAAAAGTATCAGGAGAGAAAGACGAAAGTACTAGCATACAAGCGAGGGTTGCGTCGGATCGTTACAATACGCTCTCTGAGTTTCTGAGTGATATCGACAGAGCCTCCACAGCCGTCATCGAGCGGAGCAAAGCTCAAAGCAGTGAGGGCGAAGCCACCGACGGCAACCGCCTGACAGAGACGGTCAATCGGATTGCGGCATTCAAAAAACTTTTGAATAGTCTTGTGCGCCAGGCTTCTGTGGGCCAGACCAGCGTCAAGAGGGAGAGCACGGAAGACGACTCAGAGGTTGCAGGAAAATCAACACCTTCTACCACTGAAGGTCGAAGCGATAATGTGGTTCTCACCATTCTTGGTAACCCATCCAACCCGAAACCGCTATACTCCAGCTTGCAAAAATCTGTCAAGGTTTCTCTGCCTTCTGGTGAATCAGCCGCAGAGAAGTACGTGGAAGTACAAACACCTCTGCGTGAGATTGGCTTGCCCAACGGTATCACGACTACCAAAGTTGCGGCTTACAACACAGAGAACAAGCCCAAAGAGGCCAAGCGAACCTTTGGCGAGGTGTTCACGCCTCGTCCCACATTGCCGCAATTAGAGCCGCCCCGCAGGGCCAGGTCGTCTTCTCGTACTGCTCCTGGAGGCTGGATTGACCCATTCGAAGCAGTCACAAACTACAAGGCTTTTCCTGGCGAGCGAAATAACTATTGCCTTGCGCCTCTTCCTTCGGGCCAGTGGCTCCAGTACGGCGGAATCACCTCATCCCCCTCTTTCTGGGATCGACGGCAAAAGCAACAATCCGCTCAGCCGCACGGAGACGAGAGATATCATGAGGATCCTGCTCTGTGGACAGATGACGACGCCTCTCTGTTGCAGGGCGTGTATTCGTCATTCGCACCTTCGTTTGACAGCTCAGGAGCCATTGTTCAAGCTGATTCTAAGGACATGGTATGGTGGGGGAAACGGGGAACGAAACGCTTGTATACCCTTCTTGCCAAGACCACCTACTCAGAGGAGCCTCAAGACGCATCGGAAGTATCCGCGACAGAGCAACCTGGCAACATTGGTGAACTGGACGAAAACACTTTGGAAGAGATGGTCAAGTCATTCAACCCTGAAGACTTTGCTGACCATGTCTCATTCACCAATGGTTTGGAGAAAGAAAAGGAAGAAGCAGAATCAAAGGGCATGGATGACCTGTTACGCGATGTATCTGAACTGCTGGAGACTCTGAGCTCATATCAGAAGATCCGCAACCTGGAACTACCAGCTCCAGGCGGTGAACCCAAAGAGACAGCAACAGACCAAGGCACCCCATCTCATGCGTCTGCAGCAGAACAGGGTATCTATGAGACACTCAAATCCAGCCTTGCCGCTCTCGTCTCAAACCTACCGCCATACGCCGTTGCCAAGTTGGATGGTGACCAACTCGCCGAATTAAATATCAGTACAAAGATTTTGGTCGATAATCCGGACTATCACGGCATTATGGAGAAGGATGACTTCACGCTGCAGCAGGAGCGGGCCGCGGCGATGGCACCGATGGCTGCTGGGCCAAACCGAACATCTACACCCAGCCGCTCTGGAAGCTATCAGGCCGGTTACAACCAACGGGCCTATACTGCTAACGCTCGGGTACAGCAACCGCAAGCTGGTTTCCAGGCGCCCCAGCCGTATTACGGCGGAAGACAGCCTTCGACCTCAGCGCCTTATACCCCAGGCCCTCCACAGCACTTTGCTAATGCTCGCCCTCCAGCAACGCCTGCTCAGCGACCCACATTTGTGCCGGGATACCAACAACCTACACCACAATATAACCAGGCCAATCTTCAGCAGTTCCAGCGTCCGGGCCAGAACGGCTACAGCCCCTATGCGGCACCGCAAGCTTTACCGCCTGCTCAAGCTTCTCCGCAGGCGTACGCGCCCAGGCCTGCACAGCCTGGAGCATACGCCCCGCAGTATGCTGCAGGGCGTAGTGGCTCACCGCAGAAGCAGCCAGCATATGCCTCCCCTCGAACACGGGCACCATATATGGCACCAAGCTCTGCAACCCCCCAGCAGCGGTTTGTCCCGCAGCAGCAACCACCCAATTACAACTACCCTTCCAACCAAGCTGCCCCTGCGCCAAACACCTACTCGAACTCTGCCGCTGCAATGACTTATGCTCGGAGTGCTGCTGAGCAGGCTGTATTGATGGACCGGAACAAAGCACAATTAGCGCAGCAAACCCGGCAGAGCTCAACACCTCAACCTACTACGGATGCCAGCTCCCAAGACCGAAGTATAACGCCAGCAATCAAGCAAAATGGTACTCCTGTACCTTCGTGACGGTTTTCTCTCTTCTCATTTGCTAATATTCGTACTCTTGGGGCGTGGTTACGGTGACACGGTGATGATTTGATTCGAATTGGGCATGCCTTACTGTACTTCTCACTTTCTTTTCCTTTCGTTTTGTTAGATTGGCGGCTGGGAAGTCAGACTCAAGACCGTTTTCGTGTTGATTTCAACCATGACGTTATTATTATCATCAATTTTTACCACTTGAGTCAAATGTGTAACTGCTCAATGATTGCTGTTCTTCCCTGAGTGACTTCCTTCCGTCTTCTCTTCGTGATCGTCTTCTTTCTGTTGACTTTTAATACTTTATCCGCAACAACTGCTGCCGTTTGCCTATACTCTGGGATGGAGTTTCTTAGCGATCGGCGCGGAATGCTTTTAAAGAATGGTTTGGGTGGTTTTGTTCGGTCGGTAGGGAGTCGAATGTGGACATGTTTTCTAGTTTCAAAGATTGCGGCTCTATCAATATGAATCCAATTCAAACTCTTCTACTTTACTTGTGAGGATTGAATGGCACTGTCTTTCGTGAAGTGACTTATCATAAACGTAGTATACATCATTCTATGAATACATGGTTCCTAGTACTAACTCATAATGCCAGTTTGTCAATGGCTGTTCTGTCTCTTTCTGTATATGACCTGGAGGCTAATCCCGGAAGGACATTATCCTAGGCTTAGAGAAACGCGTCGAGTCGTTATACCGCAGCAGTTGACGGTGTTATCAAGGGATGAACATGGCGGCTATGGTCATGAAGCCAAAGTATCTGTGAACAGTGAATGAGTTTCCGGCGCTAGAAAATGTTATGAGATGGTAACCTCGAGCGAGGTAACCACGGTTCATGAAGGATGTGCAAGGTCCAGATACATACAATGTTGCAGATCTCCACCCATCGCGGGACTCCAGGTGCTCTGCACCGGACGAATAATTCATTGCTATCGCGGCAGCGGCACCGCCGACAAGAGCCACCACTAGGAGACGGCCTGAGAATTCGGAGATCATGCTGAAGGCTAGTAAGGGGAGGAGGATGGCGGCTGAGGCGATAATGATGGCGGAGTAGACGGAAGCTGTAGGAGATGCGCGGCGGGACGACAAGGAGATCAGGTCTTTGCCGTGATCTAAGAACCGGGACTCGGCTGTTATGATGGGCGAATGGTCTTTCATCCAAGTGCGGTAGGTCTCAATGTCTTTATCTGAAGCGCTGGGTATGGTTTGCAGAACTCGGCTATATGCTGCGAGGGCGTTGTCTAAGATAGTGCATCAGCACAAGACAGAGGAAGTTACATATACTTGGAATCTTACTGTATTGCTCCGTCTTGTGAACCAGGGCTCCCATTACCTCTACCCGTCTGTAATGCAAGGACGAATAAACCTGAGCTTGAGCGTCCATGCGTCTCGAGGCGGGCAGCTTCTTCGTTCCCTCTCGTTCGGCTGTGGCGACCCGATGCATCTCTTCGTACTCGTCGAGAATTCTCAGATCTTCCTCCA